TACACGAGGAAACTGAAGCACAAAGAGATTATGACCTGCCAAAGGCTGCAAAACTAATATGGAGAGGAATGAGTAATTTGAATCTAGAAATTCTACTGAGTTTGTGCTTTCAACCTTCATGCTAGATTTCCTGAGGATTTACAGAGCAATGAGAAATTCCATAATTCAATCATATGACAATCATAAAACTTGCCAGCTAGCAGTATTTTAAAATACTAATTCCTCTACCAACCCACTTGGGACAGGGGATGGTATTAATTCAACAAGCTCCTGAGCTACTAAGCTTTTTTTTTTTTTTTTTTTTTTTTGACAGAGTCTCATTCTGTCCTCCAGGCTGGAATACAGTGGTACGATCTTGGTTCACTGCAACCTCCTCCTCCAGGGTTCAAGCAATTCTCCTGCGTCAGCCTCCCGAGTAGCTGGGACTACAGGGGTGCACCACCATATCTGGCTAATTTTTTGTATTTTTAGTGGAGATGGGGTTTCACCCTGTTAGCCAGGATGATCTCAATATCCTGACCTAGTGATCTGCCCGCCTCGGCCTCCCCAAGTGTTGGGATTACAGGCGTCAGCCACCACTCCCGGCTCTAAGTTTTTTATGAATGCTAAGTTTGATTTTTCATTACACTTAAACAAAACTTTTTGATATTTCTATCTCTGGCAAGTACTAAACTCTTAACAAAACAGAGTGAAGGTATTTTCTAAATTTACTACAACATCATCACAATGTTCATACATTTTTTAAAAGCACAGGGAAAGTGTATTTATATTTGAGAATTTATGTCCAGTCCCTGACAATAGCCTTAAACCTATCATTAGAAAAAAGTTTTGGCCAGGTACAGTGGCTCACGCCTGTAATACTAGCACTTTGGGAGGCCAAGGTGGGCAGATCCCTTGAGCTCAGGAGTTCAAAACCACCCTGGGTGATAAGGCAAAACCCCACCCCTACAAAAAATACAAAAAAATTACCTGGGTGTGGTGGCAGTCACCTGTAGTCCCAGCTACTTCGGGGGCTGAGGTGGGAGCCCAGGAGGTCAAGGCTGCAGTGAGCCAAGATTATGCCACCACACTTCACCTTGAGTGACAAAGTGAGACCCCGTCTCAAAAAAAAAAAAAAATGTGGAAGACTTCTAGAAAACAAAGAGAGAACACACAGATACAAGACAAACTACAGAAAGATTCTAGAATAGTCAAAAGCTAGTAAAAAGGAAAGTAATTTAAAAGAAAAATGTCAGGAGCCAAGAGAGTGACGTGACAACATTCTGAGAGAAAAAGGAACCAAAGACAAAGAAAGGAAAAAGATCTACTACGGAGATTCTGACAAGCACTTCAGAAAACATACAAAGTGCTAACCAGCAACTGCCTCTCTATACATATAAAAGTAATTCTACTTCATGGTCAAATCTGTCAGTTCTGATCACATTATCTTGCTCTTCTTCTGTGAAGTATACCATGTAATAAAACTTAAATGTAAAGTAAGTCATACTTTGAAAATAGAGACAGCTGTGTTAAAATTTGCTTTCTAATTTTGTTAAGAGTTGGATATTTGGAGTTCTCCCTGGAAAGTAAATGAGTAAAAACAGTAAATATAATAAATATCTATTATTTCAAGAAAACCTACTTTATGAAAAGTCCTTCAAGATGTCAACTTGCATTTTATTTAAAGAACAGAAATACCATTATGAATTCAGTGTATACTCAGTTACTCAGTGTTAAAAACTGTTTCAGAAGTTATTCAAAAAAGAGATTTTAGTATCTTGGGAAAACTTTTTTTTTTTTTTTTTTTTTTGAGACAGAGTCTTGCCCTGTCATCCAGGCTGGAGTGCAATGGCGTGATCTCGGCTCACTGCCACCTCCGCCTCCCAGGTTCAAGTGACTCTCCTGCCTTAGCCTTCCAAGTAGCTGGGATTACAGGCATGTGCCAGTATGCCTGATTAATTTTTTTTTTTTTTTTTTTTTTTATCTTTAGTAGAGAAGGGGTTTCACCATGTTGGCCAGGCTGGTCTCGAACCCCCGACCTTGTGATCCGCCTGCCTCAGCCTTCCAAAGTGCTCGGATTACAGGTGTGAGCCACTGCATCTGGCCAGGAAAACTCTTAAAATTCAATTAGTAATAGATTAATTGAGTTATTTTACTAAACCCCTATACTCACTTAATACTACGGATATATTTCAAAAGTGAGAATGGGATTGAGTTTAACAAGCACAACACATCAGTCATGAAAGTTACATTCTTCTCTGTGAAGTCCCCAAATGTAATTTTAAAATGCTAAGAATGTGTGTATGACTAAACATTCCCAGTGTTTCCAAGTTAGGGATATAAGTAGGGCAATATTTTGAACCAAAGATATCTTCTATAATATATTCCGAAGGTCTCATTTGAGACCAGACAGTAGTTTAAGCAGCAAAAGAATTAGGCTAAAAGAAATACATACCACTGGGGATATGGAGATCTAAATGTATATAAAGATATAGACATATCCATAGATTTATCTGCACACGTGCACTCCATTAAACACTTTCCAGCCACAGAAAATAGATTTATCAGCCAATAATCTCCAATCCTTTCACTACACACATCAATTCATTCAACTTCAAAGCCTGGAAGAGGGACTTAGAAAGCACTTAATGTAAATGATTGTGGCCCATAATTACAAACCACCTGTCCTCTTATTTACAGCCATAGCTCTGTCTCAGAAAATAGTACACAAGGCTGAAAGAATCAGCTACTAAGGATGTACAGTAAAAAAAACTGTCAAAACACTATTGGATGCTAAAACTTGCACACTGCAGAGTTCTACACAGATTTTCTCTAAAGTTATAATAGTGTCTTAATGGCAACTTAGGATTCTGTGTCCATAAAGAACATAATGTCTTAATGTTGTCTATAAACAAAGAAATTAAATGCTGTACCCTTTGACTAATATAACTTACAAAAGCTTAAAGCCAAACAAACATCTCAGGTTTAACAAAAATATAAATCCACTGAATATCACTAAAAATAGTACAGTTTGCGTACTTTTAAAAAGGAGTTTTTAAAAACCAAGTGTATTTGGGTTATGTAACAGGGACAATGAACCTCTCTTCCTGGAAAACATGATATACACCTGTATCACCAGAATCTGACTGTAGCATTAGTGACTATACACAAAATGGCCCTTGTTCTATGTGCTGATAACTCACTTAGGTATGAAGTCTGATCAATTTTGGAGATGTTTCTTTCACAGTGGATGGCAGGTGATAGCAATCTGGTCAGTTTGGTCAACTGAATTGAGGTAACTATCCTATGGCCTTAACACTAGCTATTCCCTTGCCTTCTTCCACTAGACCCAAAGGCCCTCAAAGAAAGAAATGAAGACTCTTTTTCCTTCATTAGAATGCCTAGCACAATGCCTGGCATATAGTAAGCACTCAGTAAATAAATACTGACTCAATGAATCTGTTCAATAGAATAAGCCAAACTAGATGTTTTAACTCCCTAAGTTTTATTTACTTCAAGGCTCTCAATTTTTGCCTAGACTGGATAGTTATAAATGTCTCCTCTGTCCTAAGCAAATCTCGCATGATTAATCAATTTTTGTTCATAATAAGGAAATAAACACAAGACTTTTTTTCCACTCTGCTCTAAATAGTTTGGTTTCGACCAATCCAAGCTCAAACCAAATGTAATTCTGTTTTCGCTGCTTGCCTTACTCTGACCTGACAAATACAGTTTTGCCTTTAAAATATGCTTTAGAATAATACTTGTAAGGTAAATTAAGTGACTTAGACTCTTCCATTATTTAATACTTATGACAATAGGCATTCAGCATTCAGAGATTAGCAAAAATCTACAAACCTAAGTGCATGGAAAGCTACACTGGCTGAGAACAAATTGAAAACAATAATGTGATCAATAGACAGATCATATACTTCAAGTTTTTAACTTTTGATAATCAGTCATAATACTAATGAGGCCAAAGTTATGAGCTTAATCTGCACATGTTTTGCAGCATGGACAGTACTCTAACTTGAATTAGCAGTTGGGTATGGGGTTAATCACATAAGAGAATATAAGAGAACAAGAATCCACAGAAATCCATCTCCCTAAGTTTACTCAAAAAGTATTCACACGTAATAGGTGGTAATGTCAGCGACAAAACCATATTATTAATTTAGGTAAAAGTTCACAGGCCACACAAAAATTCTTTGAGGTTGACGATTTCTTTAAACATATATGGGATTATATTCTATCTATAACCCCAACAATTCCCAAATACCAATAAGTAATACAGTTACATACTAACATTCCATTTCTAAGGCACAACTATATTATGAGTCCCATTATAAAACTAGAATTAATACAATCATGATCAAGTAATGCAAGTTAATATCAAATCAAAGGAAGAGTGCTGCATCGGTATCATTAATTTAAAAATAGCTGTAGGCAAAATATATAGTTTTTAGGTCTCTCTGGGCAGGGGCTATTGAGAAAAAAGTTAAAAAAAAACATATATATATATATACACACATATTGTGTGTATCTGAGATTCAACTAACAAACAAGATTGTCTTATGGGCTGTTTCTTGAATTAATAATTTGAAACATACATCCTCGTGTGCAGTACTAACATTGGTAGGCAGTGGCAGAATTCACTAGAGACCTTGATGGAAGTGCCTAAGCCCCAGGCCCACTCCCTGAGATTGTTTTTGCTATTTTGAGGCATTTTGAAGGAGCGCAAGTTTTAGTTAAGCACATGAAATTCTGGTTCAGCGTGGAAACTCTGCCATCAGCTCAATACATTCACCTGGAAAAGGAATTTAAGTTTTGTGGCAATCTCTGTCTATGCCAATCTGCCCAAATTCCTAACAGACAGATAAGACATATTGGAGGATATGTAAATTGTTTATTGTCTTAAAATTCCTTGCATATCCTTTAATTTTAAAAAGAAGTTAAAAATACAGTCAGCATTAACGGCATAAGAAATATGTGTTCGAGATACTCATCTGAAGAAAAGTTACCTAGTGTAACTGGGTCTGGGTTGACGGGACTCTGCTGCCTGGAGTGACTGCTGCTGCTGCCGCCACCTTTTTTTAAGTCCTCGGCATCACTGTATCGCCGGATCCAGTAATTCAATTCTTCCCGGTCTGCTTCTTGACACCGCCTTAGTACGGTGAGAGATCGCCTTGTTTTTTCTACCATGTCCATTATGCAGTTTAACAGCTATGTGGGAAAGGGGAGAATAGGGAAGAGCGTATAAATCATCACAATTAAAGATTTTACTGAATAGTGAAACAAACCATTTCAGGACAATGAAGGAAGCAATTTTATCCCTGAAGGTTTTGGTCTAGTATTTTCTACAGCTAGATTTGAAATTCAGAGCCAATAGATGAGAAAATTCGATGGGAATGAGAAGATAGATGTATGAACACAAGACAGAAGGGAAATTTCACCTGAAGGCACTATAGCCAGTAAATCCACCTCTCTAAATACTAATCCCATTACTTTATAAATTAAATAACCTTTTCACAATAAAACAGTAGCCCACTGATCTGGCTTTGAGAATTCCTTTCCAAGATCTAAACATTTCTCTTAAGTGGCTTTCATATCAATTTAGAAATCAAATTCTACATTCTACTTCAAATATTCTCGCTCATTATTTTTTTCAAGGATAGCAGGAAACACAATACCTTCAAAGGATCACCAAGCTTTTATTTTATCACATAACCTCACTCCAGTTGTTTTCCAAACATCTTTTAATCCCAAATTATTACTGATGTCTTACGTGGTCAAGATGTTTCCACTCTTCTGCCCATTCTCTGTCTGTTAGTCTGTGATCAATCATTTCTTCTTGACGTGTGCCATGCAACCCTACAAAAATAGAGAAGGCTGAATAACCCTAAAGCGTTCAGTATACAACCCATACACACACAGACTCACAGCAAGGACTATGTGGGTAAACTCAATGATGTAAAAATACATTTGATTTTGAATGGAGACATGATTCAGAATTACCTAATAGGTTCCTCACAGAATGATAAAATACTAGAACTAGAAGGAATTTCAGAGGTCAGCTGGTCAGAAGACTTTATTTTACACACAAGAGACAGTTAAGTGACACCAAGCCCACAGCTAGTTATCCACGCAACACTCTGTAAGTAAAAATACATTCTAACTCTTAATAAATACAAGAAACCACAAGTAGACATTAAGTGGTTTTTAAAGCATTGACGTCCTGCATTAAAAATAAAGATAGCATAAGTCATTTTACATGGGAAGGGACATGCTTTCCCAAAACAAGCATGGTAAATTTTTCCATATTTCAGCCTTGTATAAATGAATACAATCCTAACACATATACCTACATGACAAAATTAGACCATGAAGAGAAGGCTTGTATAATATGGAGCTACATATACTCATTTGGTTTACCAAAAAATAAAAAATAAAAGTAAATTGGACATCCTTCATTACAAAATTAACATACAAGATATAATTTGACAAATATCATAAATCCAAGTGAACCAACTGAAAATCCTAATTTGAAGTCCATAAGACTTAATGCTCTTTAGCATCATAGTTAAGATACCACTATGAAAAAGTAATATATAAGTGTTTACCAGGTGAGCACCAGTATTAACAAATTTAAGCAGTTAGCTAGCATGCTCATTAAAATAGGAAGTAAATGTGTCTCACTAAAAAGATGGGCTGAAAGTTTCCGATCAGAGAAACCTGGAAACGTGTTATTCCTCTTACATATTCACTTTATATTCTGTTGAATAGGAAAGTCATTGAGCTGTGGCATTATTTTGCAACTTAAATGAACAAAACTATTATTTTTGGTTACCAATTCTCAAAATGTTACTCTGAACAGCAAATAAGGTTTCTTATAGTTTGGGTTTCTAGATAACTGGGCTACCTCTCTGTGGAACTTATGTAAGAATTAAATGACCAAACGAGTTATAAGACACTGAATTTTACTTTTTGTGAGATTTAAGTGGTTAGAAATCCCTTTTTTTTCGCTGATGTACACAAATAAAGATGAGTCACATGACTCTGTTCAGCCAACCATGTAAAGAGATATCATATACAACTGATGGAAGTGAACAAATTTATGACAACCCTTTCTCAGACTAACTGAAAAGCTAAATGCAAGATGCTTTGTACCACTCCTGTCCAATTAGAACATATTCTAAGATATATTTTAAAAGTTAAAATTGTCAATGCCACCTATTGGTTAAAAAGTAAAAGTGCAAATATGTTTTATTAATTTGCATAATATAAACACATTGGGAAAAATAGTACTTAGTTACTGCTCTGTTGTGATTATTTCAAGTTGAAATGTTTGCAAATATGTAATTTTTGTTAACTTATTTGTTGCCTGTGTTTTAGGGAAAAACCACTACTGTTAAAATTAGTCACCACAGAAAATAACCAGAAAGTGATAAGGATATAAATGTGACAATGACTTCCATGTTAGAGGCATCTGAATATTTGCCTTTAAGGACAAGAATTCCAGAGGTCTCAAAAGCTTGAAAAATTCAGCAGAAGAAATCAGTAATGACACAAGCTGTAACGCCTGGAGTAATATTAATGAGCAACAGGACATCTGTGGTAGTGGGATTTCAGGATTTGTGAAACAGTACTAAGCTTCATCTCATTTAAAAAAAATACTAAGTGTATTAGAAACATGTTTGAGCTCAAGTACTTGCTGAAAAAATGTAAGATTCATTTGCTGCTTTTGAACACTGAAAGTCATTTGTTAGATATAATCAAATCTTTAAAAATAAAAAATAAATCAAGATTTTACATTTACTAATTTCTCTATTTAAGATACTTAAATATTCAGCAGCACACAATTTTTATTTATAGTCATAATACCAGAGGGATGTACCAGGGGAAAATAGCTCATAATCATTAAATAGCTCATAATCACATTTTCATTTGTGGGAAATTTGACACTAATGTTGAGTCTTAACTAGTTATTTTGTTTTAGAATATTTTGACTAGGCTAAAACTCTAAGCTTACTTATAAACTAATGCCGCTAACAGGTTACTTTACTGAAGGATTCTAGTGAGCATATGTCCCTACACATAATAGGCATTTACAAATCGTACCAGACTAAGTATATCTTTATGACAATTTTTATATTCTCAAAATGGCAGCCTGATGTAATACCATAATTTGTTGCTCATACATCAAGATTTTATTTTACATTAACACACACTAAACTCTGCCAGACTTTAGGGATGGTTTAGTAGCTGCACATATTTATAGAGATTAGCCCTATTAGTTTTATAAGCTAATATAATTAAAAGGTAAGGAACATGGTCTGAAGAAAATCACATAAAACCAATGGATACAGATATAATTCATAAAGGGATATTTTACATTACTTTATGAAAACATAATCGTTGCACATAAGTGTAATTACTTCCTTGCTGATTACTGTATAGTGCACTGGAACTAATATTTCACAAAATAGCACCTGCTGCCTAAGAAACAGGCCATTTGCTAACACATCTACAAAATGGGATCCCTTGAATTGGTCTCACCATGACCTGATGACTCCACTGCTATTTAAAAACATGCAGTCATGGTTTTCAGTACTTAAGTCATAAATAAATGCTAAGGCTTTGTGTAGAAGGGAATTGTTATCACATTTGATTTTGGGGTCCAAATATCAATCCAGATCAAGAAATAGCATAACCACCTTTGAAAGCTCTTCAGAAATGGTACCTGCGAGAACATTAGACAGATTGGCTATTAAGAAAGCACAAATTATATGCTTAGTCATTTGTCTGACACACTATATAAACGTAGAAATTACTGTTGTGGAGAACCAGAACTACTAATTTACTATCTTACAACCAAAGCTTCAATCGCCCCTCCCCTCATCCTGACTCTTCCTGCTTTCTAAACATTTGGGGTGTTGGGCGTAGAAAGGCAAAAAAGGCCCTACACGTGGAGCCCCTGTTTGCTAGCAACATACTTGGAAATCAAATGTAAACTTTATATATTAAGACTTTCTCTGCCTGTGGCTAAAAACAAAACAAAACAAAAACCACCATCACTGTAATCAAGTAGTGAATAACTGGCTGGCTACATTCCCCAGAATTCTGTATCCTCAGCTCTGTTTTTGGGTTTTCTACTTGCACTTCATCCCCTGCTCTTTCTAGTGTACTGGCCACTAAGTCACCTGCATCAGGAAAGTTTGCCAGCAATTCGTTACAAGGTAGAGAAAGTCCTGTTGGTGGGTGATGTGGACACAGGAGATGGAAAAAGAAGAGGAGACTCACTATTGCTCTCAGTTAGACTCATCACTAATTAAGAATTGAAGGCACCCCAGTAATAGTGTACTTACTAATAACCCTCTGATACACTATCATCTCCACCACTGAACCACTAATCATGTGTTTAAAAACTTACCTTGTTCATCTTCTCTCTCACTTTTCATGGTAGACATTTGTTCTACAGAAGGCAATGTCTTCAAAATGCTTTACTACTTCTTTTTTTTTTTTTTTTTTTTTTTTTTTTTTTTTTTTTTTTTTTTTTGAGACAGGGTCTTTCTCTGCCACCCAGCCTGGGGTGCATGGTGTGGGGTGCAGTGGCATGATCTCATCTCACTGTAACCTCTGCTTACTGGGCTCAAGCAATCCTCCTGCCTCAGCTCCACAGGTAGCTGGGGCTAAAGGAGTCCACCACCATGCCTGGCTAATTTTGTAATTTTAGTAGAGACGGGATTTTGTCACAGTGCCCAGGCTGGTCTCAAACTCCTGAGCTCAAACTCATCTACCCATGTCGGCCTCCCAAAGTGCTGGGATTATAGGCGTGAGCCACTGCACCCAGACAAAATGCTTTACTTCTAATAGTTTTATGCAAAGAAGGAATGAACACAGGGAAATAGAACACGTATTTGCCCAAATTCACTTCTTCAGTATTCCGATCCTTGACCCCAAATTGTCAATATTAACTTCAATCACTGGCATTTTCAAGTAAACAAAAGTACCAAATCATTCCTCAGGAAACATCTGTGAAGCCACAGATAGCATACCATATCATACTTTGGAAATATGGAATATCATGGAGGCTCGAAAAAAATCAAAATAAACGTAGAGACTATCTGAAACAAAAGACACAATGCAAGAAAATAAAGTGATTTTTAAAAATATTTGTGGCAGGCAGACTGCATATGAAGTCTCGTGTTAAAAGAGAATTCAAGCTAAAAATTTATTTTGCATTTGTTACAAACACAATTGAGGGTCTTGTATTAATATAGATGCCCTCCTCCAAAGAAATTTAGTGTACTGTCTTAAAGAATACAAGTGATTAGGAGAGAGACAGTGCACAGCTGTTGAAAAGTCTATTAATACCAATCAAGTTTTTTTCATAAAGGAGACAATATAAAGCAAGATAAGATAAGATAATTTTTATCCCTATCACAGATTTCAAGCCTCAAGTTCAGTTCAGAAGTAATGGTGCAAGTCTTCAAGCACCCAATCCCATAAGAAGTGAACAGATCCTTCAGTCTTACCCATAGGTCTGTTTCTGTCCCTGAGGTCCCTGTGGCTGGGGTGTCGATAGGAGTCCCTGTAGTGGTGGGCAATGGCCATATCATCCAAACGGTAATGCTGAGGTGGAGGTGGGGTGGGGTGAGGCAGGCCATTGGGCTGGTAGGATAAGCCGTTATTTGGACTGTACCGCTGGCCTGGGCTAATAGTGCATGGTCGCTTGCTTGGATGTTCTGAGTGCAAAGGCTCTCTGTCAAAGCCATTTTCTTTGGTTCTAAGAGGGAAAAAACAAGAGTTTGTTTCATCATCTATTCAGAAATCAGCACAGTTCAGTCACTCATATTTGAGCTTGGAATAAAGACAGAATATTTTTTACTGACCAGAAACCTAAACTCAGCTTCCCAGAAAACATACGGGAATTCACTGAGACCTGTGTCGAGACCTAAATGATCATAAGCCTGCAGATAGGAGAAAATGCTTCACTTCTCATCAAATTAGCAAATATCTTTTCAGTTGAAGCTCATGTGGTTAAGTCACAAACAAGAGGAAACTCAAGTCTCCTGTAGATAACATTTTCATTCAAAAAACAGTGCTTGATTTCTAACAAGTTACCCTAAGACCGACTATATTTGATGAAGAATCATCAAGGTAAAACATCACCACTCTCTTGATGAACGCTTGAGCTACACCTATTCCGCTTGGTATCTGACTTCTGTGTCAGAGGACATCTAAGAACTGTGTTGTTCAATACATTAGCTACACGTGGTTGCTTAACTTAAAATGTAAGTTACTTAAAATTAAATAAAGCTTAAAATTCAGTTCTTCAGTATCAGCAGCCACATTTCATGTGCTCAACAGGCACGCGTGGCCGGTGGCTTCAGTAGTGGACTGCACAGATATATAACATTTCCATCATCACAGAAACTTCTACAGGAAAGTAAGGATCAAAACTGAGTGAACACAGCATGCAATGCAATGTCTGGGACCCTGACACTATCTTGAGTCACCAAGGTAATCAATCAGCAGTCATACAGAGCTAGCCTGGACTAGAAGGAAGATCTAGGTCATTATTTTATTTTAAAGTTGAGGAAACACATACACAGAGAGCTAATGTATCCTGTCTGGGGTAATCAGGTTATACGGCAGGACGGGAACACCCTGACGACACATCACCATGTGATGCACAGAACTCTGAACTTGGCTTTCAGAAGGAATGCATTCTATAAATAAGACCTGATAACTAGTCACGATTCCTTGATTCTCAAATAAATGTAGGACTCAAGAAGTAATTTCTGGCTGTATATACTTCTACTGCTTAGAGACTAGCCCCTAATATATTCAGTAAGATAGAAACAAACCATATTCAACTTTGACTGTAATCACTGCTCCCAAACTTACTTTTTACTTACAAGACCGGCACTCTTGTCTTTAGATAGGTGGTAACATCTATTTTCTCAGGGACATTTTCTCATAAGAATTCTACTGGTTCACAGTGGCTACAGACTTCTACATGCCTTCTTTATTTTAGGTAGTAAAATAACAGCATAGAGGCACTTTTTCTACTTTCCTGGCATCTAGTGACAGCATCTAGTCTTTGTCTGATAATACTAGAGCAATCCAGGTGGAAACTGAATCAACAACAGAGATGATCGGGGGCAACAGGATTCTACAATGAAACATCCTTCATGCCCCTTTAGGGTGGGTCCCGCAGTGACAATTCATACACACCAGGTTGAGAAGAATAAAGGACTTAGAGACAGAAGGTAAAGACATAGAAAGAACTGAGGGTAAATCTTCAGAGTTTTATGTTAAAGAACATGCCCACTACATACTAAGAGGGATGCACTATTCTGAATAGACTGGCCAATATTGGAAATGATGGCAGAGCATAGCCCCCAAGGGAGTGGCAGCCAGGAATCCTAATGCCACTCCCATCAAAGTATGTGTCTACACTAAAACATACTGACTCCTTACATATTGATCATTGATATCAGACTAAAATATCCAGTGTAGCTGAGACATTACCTAATTGCATTGCTTTAAAATAATTTTTAAAAGTGAACTGAAACATTCTAGATACTGATTTATCTTCTAAGAGTATACCCATGTGATTCAAATCTGTATTTGCATATCCTACAAATTTCTAAATAATACACTTCAATATTCAATGCATATTATCAGCATAAATCAGTTGGAAAATACTGAAGACTATTAGCGGCTGTGAACATAATGCTAACATAGCACCTACCTTACTGGCAGTGTGGTGTAGTGGAAAGAGCATTGGACTGGGAATCAAGAGACCTGAGATCTAGTCCTGGCTCTTCCATGACTAGCTGTGTGACCTTGGGCAAGTCACTTAACCTCTCTAGACCTCAGTTTATTCATCTGTAAAATGAAAGGGTTGGACTAGATCAGTGGTTTTCAAACTGTGCCACCTGAGGTGCTTAAGGGATTTTGTAGGCAATGAAGAACTTTTCCCCCAAAGAATCAAGATTCTCAAGATTTAAAGTGCCAGAGGAGCCCACTTCTTATTATCTGTGTTAATCATTGGGGTTCCACTTAAGATTTCATTTTTAAAGGAAAAAGTCTGCGGCTAAAATCAAGTTTGAAAACCACTGGACTAGAAGATTTCTGCAGTCCCTTTTAGTTGGCAAACTCTGCAATTCAAGTATTTTATATTTACAGCTAAATACCATAGTTACACAGATCAAAACACACAGTGCTGATAGTCCTCTGCCCAAACCATAAGTACCTAAGGCAATCACCTTAGCCAAGTTCTCTGTTCCTTGGTTTGAACAATTTATTATTTATACCTTATTTTTTGTGCAAAAATTAGAAAACATCCTCTTAGTGCAGCCCCTGTAGAATTTCTAAATAATGAAACATCTTTCTTTGACCTATTTGGGTCAAACCACTCCAACTTACTAGTTTTCCCTCTCCTTGATCAATGGAAACAACAACAACATTGGAATAATTTTTACAATTTTTAAATGGTTAGATACACTATTTATCTTCATCCTTAGTGGAACCCTTTGTTCAGTGCTATTACTTCAATGACCCAATTAAATGGGAGGAAAAAAGCATTATTTTTTCCTAAAGCAAGGGCAGTAATGTCCTAAAAGGCAGGCGAGGGCCCGAGTCTGTTCTTTCATTTCAATCAGGTCTTACTGTCCTATCCTGGGGCCCATCACCCTGCTAGCTACTGAAATAATAAAGCTCATGACCTCACAAGGGTAATTTACATTCTAACAGTTGTGAAACATTAACACTTGCAGAGGCGTGGTGACTAATACCTGTAGTCCTGGCACTTTGGAAGGCTCCAGGAGGAAGGATTGTTTGAGTACAGGAGTTTGAGACCAGCCTGGGCAACATAGTGAGACCTTGTTTCTACAAAAAATAAAAAAATTGGCGGGGCATGGTGACGTACACCTGTAGTCCTAGATACTCAGGAAGCTGGGGCAGGAGGATCACTTGAGCCCGAGATCGAGGCAGGAAGCTGGGGCAGGAGGATCACTTGAGCCCGAGATCGAGGCTGCAGTGAGCCATGATCATACCACTGCACTCCAGCCTGAACAACAGAGTGAGACCCTGTTTCAAAAAGAAGGGGAAAAAAAGAAAATACAAAAACTTCCACTGTCCACAAAAATAAAGCTATGAAGGGTCTCTCTGGTGCGTCAAATTACTAATGTCTACTTATAAGGCCAGTTCTATTCAAAGCATGTATGTTCAGAAGGGTAACTCAAACAATTGCCATTTGTCTGTCTGCTTCTTAGAAATGCCTACACCTACCTATATCTCATTTGCTTGGGTGAACTCCATATTTGCATTCTTCGTTGCCCTTTTCAGTGTATTAGGCAAAATTAGCAAAGACTTTTCATTGTCCCATACCAGTATACCCATGAAATAACTCAAATTCTAGTCGAAATTTGAAGTGAGAAGTCTGTTATGTCTTAAGTATTTCTGAAAGATTTTATTTGTTTTTTAAGTCTACCTGAGGATGTTCTATCTCCTTACCAGGAGACATTTTCCTCAACACAATCTAACCACTTCCACATTTAGATCCCAATCATCTCTCTCTTGAGGTTTAATGTTCTAAGGGCAGGGGATCCTTAGGACCCAGTTGTGTGATCTCCAGTTACCATCTTTCTGGCTTCAGTATTCCGCTCAGTGAAATGGGACTAATAGAAAACAACACTTGTAGAAACAAATTAAGAGGCAACCTAATTTATACTTTACCCCATCTCAGGCTCTTTTTTTCCCCAGCTCCTCGATAACAGAAACTGTAAACTATTAGGAAAAGAAAATAAATGTCCTTTAAAAACTACATGAGGCTGGGCGTGGTGGCTCATGCCTGTAATCTCAGCTGTTTGGAAGGGTGAGGTGGATGGATCACTTGAGGTCAGCAGCTTGAGACCAGTCTGGCCAACATGGTGAAACTCCATCTCTACTAAAAATACAAAAATTAGCCAGGCGTGGTGGAGCATGCCTGTAGTCCCAGCTACTCGGGAGGCTGAAGCAGAAGAATCACTTGAACCTGAGGCAGGGAGGTTGCAGTGAACCAAGATCATGCCACTGCACTCCAGCCTAGGTGACAGAGCGAGACTCCATCTCGAGGAAAAAATAAAAATAAATAAAAACAAAAACTCTACACGAAATATTTTTAAAATGATGATTAGCTAGTGTGTGCTGGCAATCCCTTAGTAACATTTATATAAAACAGTGTAACATTCAAGGAAACGGGGAAGTATGAAAAAAAATCCATCATAAAATCATGACAATAAGTAGAATAAGAGGACAAATCTCCATGGCAGAAGTGGGTGTAAGTTTTTTTCTCTACATTAAGACATTTTTTTTTAATGTGAGGAAATACCACTATAAATATTGTTTTAGGGGAAGGCAAATTGATAGAGCACAATAAATCTAAGAAAGAAGAAACTTAAATTCTAATATTCATCCTGCTATTTATTTATTTAAATAAATTATGTGCCTTACGCCCTCACTTATCTGAGTTTTGACAGACATTTCACAAGTCCAAACTGGCCTCATTTCTCTTTTGCTTTCTGTACCATCTTCTACCTATTACCCAAGTAGAAACTTGAAGTCACTCTACAACTTTCTTTTCCAAATCTAAGTCCTATTGCTGATCTCAAGCATCTCTACATGGGTCCCTCCTTCCAGTCCCAGGATACCTTTGTCTTGGCCCTTGTCACACCACGGTGCCACTTTGCCAGTATCCCCCAGAGTCACGGGCCCCAGATTTGTTTGCTGTTTGTC